GTTCAGCAGCAAGCATTTTCAAATCTGGATGTTCAGGCATGTAAATACCTTCTTAAGCGTGGAAGTAAATCCCATTTGGAGTGGCTCTTTGAAAATTGTGAGCTGTATATTTGGTGCCAGCTGTCAGCCCTGGGAGAGATGGCTGTCCTGCTGTTCCCCCGCACTGCCACAGCCACAAGTTACCACCGTTGGGTGTTGTTTAGACCCGCGTCACGCAGAGCTGCAAAGGGAACGAGAAGCCAGAAGTTGAAACCCTGGAAGAGATATGTGAAGCTGGGCAAGTTTTGCAAACCCCGTACGGTAGTTTACGGAGTCCATAAAACCAAGTTACTTCAGCCTCTGGATTAGATTTAATTTGTTTTTTGAAGTTCTGGGTTTTTCCTACGCCACTGCTCGCCGTCTGCCCCGTCGCTTCCCGAGCAGGCGGCCGCAGGGCTGGTTTTGCAGCTCGTTGGTGGTGGCCAGGTAAGGAGCTGACATATCCAGCTCTGACAGGCTGCAGAAAAGCCAGGGGGTTGGAGGGAAGATATTTACCATCCCTTTGTGCTGCTCGTGACAGGTTCCTCTTTGCACCTCATCACCGCTTGACATACGACGCCTTTCTCCACTCCGGGTTTCCTGCAAAACTTTCCACCTTGGCTATAGCCTCAGGACTTGCTTTGAAAAGCTGGAACATGGGAGGGCCAAGCCCTTGGCACAGCTTTTTTTGAGGGAGCCGCCGGCATGGCCCTGGCACGGGAACGGGAGGAGCCGCTCCACCTCTGAATTGCAATTTGTTAGTCGACTGCCTCTTAATTACCGTTCCAGTAGTGCCATAATTATATGTAATGTAACATGGCATTATTTTCCAGGAAACAATTTTCGTGATGTTAATTTTATTATCTAAATATAATATGCCTTTTCACTTGTTTTCTAAATCCCCTCTTTGTTCCGTATGTCTCGCCATCCCGAGGGTGCTGTGGCGCTGAATTGAAGCCCTTCATTTAGTGCTGGCAGGGACATAACCCGCCCAGAAACACGTCTGCGTTGCTTCTTCCCGTCTGCAGAAGGGGAAAAGCTCCCACGAACCGGCAGCGACCCAAATCTGTGCAACCCTTTCCAGTTGTTTCTCAGCAGCCGCCTCGGACGGGACCCCCTTCGCTCCGTCGCAAATCGGCTTGGGGTGATCCCAACAGAAATACCATGTCTGTGGGTCAGGAGCTGATCTTCAGGTGCCTGAAGGCCTGAAGTTGCTGAGGCCGGTCGCTCCAGATGACCTACATGCATGGAAGCATTTTAAACTGGGGTCTGAGCCAAAGTAATGCACGTTTTTAAGAGGAGCCACTGCTAACTGAAAAGGACGGCACCGTGTGCTCGGTGTCTTTGCAGATGCCACCAAGCTGCGAGGACAACAGAGGACAAGGGCTCTACGCCCGGCGATCGTGCTGGTGTTGGTCCGAGGAGGCGGGAGAGATGTGCGTGGTGCTGCACGCAGGCAGGACCCATCATCTGCCCTGGGATCATAGAATGAGTCATGGAATGGTTTGGGTTGGAAGGGACCTTAAAGATCATCTAGTTCCAACCCCCCTGCCGTGGGCAGGGACACCTTCCACTAGAGGTGGAAGGACGGGATGGAGCGGGACATCGTGTGCTGGGGAAGCCTCTTGGGCTGAGTGTGCATTGCGAGGTGAGCACGCTTGTGAGAAGGCATTGTGAAAAGGCGAACAGCATACCGTGAGAGGTGAGCAGGCGTTCAGCGTGCATGGTGTCACCCTCCTCGAGCACCCAGTTTGGGAAGGATGCAGCTGACTGGCAAGGGTGCAGAAGAGGGACCCGCAGAAGGAGCAGGAGTACATGGTGAACACATCTGCATGGTCATCCCGCTGTCTAAACAGGTTCAGAATAGCTGAAATCCTACTGCAGAGGGGGAAGCAGCAATGTGTTCTCCATGTCCCATTGAGGAAGAGAGGAAGTAATGGATGACGAGGCAGAATATGATTTAATCTCAGGAAAATTCAGGTTAAACATTAGGAAAAACTTTCACCCCTTGACCCTTCATTGCGTTAGTGCAAAGACATCCTGTTTTTACAGAAGCTGGAGGCAAATTGCTAAAGCTTTTTCTGTCCTCCAGCTTCTGATGGCAACGCTGCTCTAACGATTTGACTTCTCGTTTCTGGTGGGCATTTGTAGGGGGACCCCAGCCATCTCAACCCAGAACTGAGCTGTTCTGGGCTGCTGGTACAAAAAGCGTTACAGTTTTTGGCAGGCTGTGGATGGATTCAGCATCGTCAATAAACAGCAACCAGAAAACAAAATACTGCTCATAGTTCTGGGGCTTCGAGTTGGTCACTTTTCCTGGTAGCGGGATGTCTTGGACTTTACAAAAGCCAGTTGTTTATCGTACCAAAGATTTGTTCTTCACCAGTGGGCAGCAGTGGAAAGCCTACAGTGCTCTGAATAAAGAAGAATCAAAGGGAAGGCTTTTCCCCTCCTTACTGTGGCATGAAGGTTATTTATTCTGTTGGGGGACCGCGTTTGGCCTACACGAAGGCACACTCTTGGTGCTTACCAAATAATAACTACTCAAAAAATAACAAAGCTAATGCCATCTTCATATTGTGTTTAGAGCCCGGCGTCTTCTCGCAGTGTACCTTGATGCTGCTCCAAAAGGCTCTGAAATACCAGGACTGGCACGGAAACCGCTCAGAGCGGTGGCCCGTGTTGCTGTTGTCCTGCTGTCGGCAAACCCACCGCAGGGCAGCACTGGCGATGCACCGAGCAGCCACCTGCGTGTCCCTGCTACGATGCATAAGTTCATTTATAAACCTCAGCTGCCTTCCGAAGAGCAGAGAGAAACATCAGCACCGGGATCAATGCTCTGAAGATTCTCCCCAGGGTGGCAACAGGGGGTCGTGACGGAGACGTTAGGTTATCGCACACAGGCTGGAGGAGCTGAGAAGAAGTAACCCTGTTTCTAGAGGAGGCAGATTGATGTTTTTGTTAAATATTTTATTCAAGCTTCTGTTATCTCGGTCTTCCAGCCAGAAGGTGCTTACAGGAAAAAGCTGCATGGCAGCAGAATGGAGGAGGAGGTGTGTGTAACGTAATAAAACCTAAACCTCATGTGCAGTGCACTAAGCACAGCTTTTTACATTTCCTTTCTTCCCCCTTCTGAAAATACAGGCCTCAATTCACTTCCATTTTCCATTGCAGCATCCGTACGCTTTGGTCCGTGTTCAGCACCTAAGAATTTTATTTTCGTCTCGTAACTGTGATTACTTGTCTCCCTGTGAATATGAAGAATTTCAAACCCCCGAGCTGCATTTAGGCAAACTGCAGGCTGGAGCCAGGGGCAGACTCACCTCTAGTCGTAATATCGTGATGGAAGTGCCCAGGAACCCACGTAAGGCTGATAGCCTATCGTGCCGCGGGCTGTATAAATACCCAGTAAGACCTTGTCTATGCAGGGAATGATTATTGTCTGCAGTGGCCGTTGTATCTCCCTGTCTAGACTCTGTTCTGGAACAAAGTGACTTTTCTTCCCGAACACAGAGGCGATACGGGAGCTATGCCAGGTGCGCAATTTCCCCGTAGAGGCAAGATCTAAGAGCCGGTTCCCAAAGTCTTGCTTTGCCTTTGATTTCTCAGCCCGGACCTGCTGGGCTCTGCGCTGCACCCGCCTCCTCCAGGGACCTGCTGCTTTCCCAAGCCTTTCCCAACAGGTCAGGCTAAGGGATGTCTTTTAGTGCAGATGGAGAAACTGGCCCCGTGGGCACACTGTACATTGAGCCAGACGTGCAGAGAAACGGCTTGTCTCTTTGGGAAACTAGAAAGAAGGGGATGTGGTTATTGGAGATAACGAGAAGTGATGCAACCTGACGTAGCCTTTGACCCTCCTTGATTAAGTTGCTTGGCAGCTGGAGCTGGAATATTATAAAAAAGCTTCATTAGTTATGCCCTCTGTGCTGTGGGACATGGGTTATTTCTCCAGCTGATAGCTCAAGTTCTCTCAACAGCAACAGTTGATGTCACTCAGCTACAGAAAGGGAAACACCAGTGTAAACAGCAATGTGAATATTGGGTGAAAACATCTGGGACGGGGGAGTTCCGGCTTCACATCCTTGAAGTGGATGGGCTGTGACGCCAAAAATGCCCCTGACGACATAGTGCGGGAAATGTAAACCTCCCCCAGCTCTGTCATCCGCCCTCGCACACCGACGCTGATGTGAAACCGTGCAGGGCTCCCAACCATGTGAAATAATAATGCTGGGCTCCCATGCCAAGTTTCCAGCTGTTTCCACATGTGCATCTCATACTTACCTCCTCCCGTGCGCCTGTGCCAGGACCGAGATTCAATAAAATGCCACGCTAATCCACAGTCCTTTTTCATTAAATGACCAATTAAAGCTGGAGGAAAAGGGTTCTTACTATTATTATTTCGGTTGGGAACGTGTTCCCTGTAGCGCCGGGTGGTTTTTATTTGTATTTTTCGCCATGATTATATTCTCTACTTCGTTATCTCCGCAGTTTCGTCGCTACTGCCTCTGGTTTGCTCCCAGCTCCTTGCTGCTGCCTGACTTAGCGGTGATTTAGTTTTAAATTCTGTAAAGCCATTAAGGACTTCTGTATACGAGTTCGTGTATTCAAGGTGAGAACGCTGTGTTTATACACTGGCAAAGTGTAAGTGGAGAGGTCAGAGAATAGAAAGAGTTGAGGAGGTGCTCGTGGAGGTGGTGGTACCCTGGAACGGGCAGTGATGCTCAGCTCCTCGCACTGGGCCATGTGCCGGTGGGGTGAAGGAGTAAACCCCCGTCCCAGCACAGCGAAACTGGCACGGAAAGCAAGGGAGGGAAGCAGCTATCCAAGCCAGAAGGGCCGAAGCCTGTCAGGAAGTAAAAGTTGCTAGAGTGTTAATGCTTGGTCCCAGGTCCTCTTTGTTAGTCCACTGTTATACCTAACACCTGATTTTCGGAGGTCTTGAGTGTGGGTACCAGCTGTAAGGACAGTTAAAGATGCTCTGGCGTGCTGGAGAGCTGCTTATTGCATTTCTGTGGGTCTGCACGGGCTGTCCGTGAACACAGAACGGCTTTGGCTTTGTGGTGAAGGCAGCGTTGCTTTGGGAACCTCAGCCCCTGCCCGAGCTGCCTTTCTCAGACGTTTTAGTTGGGTTGATGGTGGCTGTTTTCTGTTCAGGTTTTTAAGTCGCTTTCTGTGCTATCCGTGGTGGGCTGCACCTCCCCAGGGATGCTCTCTTCAGGGTTGGGCAGTGAGTTGTGAGGCTCAGGACGTGTTTCGGCATGCTCCGACCGGCAACTCGGAGCAGCAGCCTGTGCAGGTCACTGGTTCCCAGTAATCCCAGCACAGGTACAGGGCTCTGCGTGGCACATGCAGCCCTGGCTTTTGGGGGCAGGAGGCAGGTGTGGGAGTCTCTGTCCATGCCCATGTCTGGATGGAGGTGCAGGGAGACAGAGCAGGCTGGGGACCTGTGTCATGGGGGCAGGTTCAGTCCCCAGCTGCCTGGCTTCGTGCTCGGTGAAGATCCAAAACCGAAAGGTGAGCCCAATACTTGCAATGTGTGCATATATTCCGTTTGGGTTTTTTAATTGATCTGCTGGATGGTTCCAGCTTGGACTCTCCTGTTTTGAACGCTCAGAGCTGGCAAAAGCAGAGCTCAACGCCAGGCGAATCTCTCCCATCCTGACCATTACAGCTCTGCAAACGGTGTTCAGGTCTGGGTCTCTCTGGATCCACGGACAGAGGAACCATCACCTTCCCACCCTGCCATGTGATGCTTCCCTGGACGCAGCCCAGATCTCCCAGACTCTTGTTTTCCCTCCCTTTGCCACCGTATCACTTTACAGAGTAATGAGTTAAACAGCGCGGTCGTGAGTGCAGCTCGGCTCCTGCGTGCTCCGAGCATCGGCAGCGTGCGATATCTAAGCCTTCGCGCTGGGGGGAGTGCGGGGGGGCTGCACCGGGTGGAAATTTCTCACCGCAGACTTTGCTGGGGCCAGACATGTTGTAAATTTTACAAGAAAAACACTTTACAAACCAGAAGTCCAACTCTCATGTGCATGGAGCTCCTAATTAACAATTTGGAGACCATGTGAACCAGGGAGCCAATTCCACTGTTACAGAGCCTCCTGGTTTGGCATCAGGCTTTGAAGATTCAGGGTTCTCCATAAAGCTCTAGCTCGGGGAGTCTGGTGATATCTGTTTCTGTTCCTCTCCTGCTTCTCCCCAACTCACACACAGGATCCCTCACACCTCCCAGGCCCTCCAAGAAACGGCGCTTAAAATCATATGGAGCACTTTAAAATGGGATCTCCATGGCGACACAGGATGCTGAAGGTCTGACTCCCAATCTTTGATGGTCTTCAA